AAAAATTGTAAATCTCAGCTCCTTATTTTTTTTTTNGAATCTTTAGTTGTTTTAGTCAGCCACATTACACCGCGCTCCACCAAACGAATCGACAACTGAATCTCGGGCCACATTAAATCCATAAATCCGACTTTTATTTATTCTACGAAAGTTTTTGTGACTTTTTTACAAAAAGTCTCAACCCAAAAAAGAATTCGCATAAAACAAAAGAAAGGTAATAAGTTCGTCAAATATTAATTAGTGTTCTCAACATTACAACGTTCTACGCCCTCCCAAGAGTCTCACTAGCCGGGGATCCCAAAAAACTATTTCAATAAAAATCCAACCACAAGGCGGAGGCGTAGACAGATGATAAAAAAAGTGACTTTTCAGTCAATAACCGATATCTCGATGAGAAATAATCGTACAAAAAATAAAAATAAATAAATTAAAGCTGATGAATCAGGCTAAATGGCCCTCTGGCATTGATTAATAGAGACAACATGTGGTTTTGAAAAAAAGTGCCTTGCATTATTTCTTTTGATTGCGTCGAGTGTACTGATCAAAAAAAAATTTCATCTGAAGATTTCAAAACTAGAATCTTGTAAGCTTCAAGATACTTCTTTTTTTTTCGACACGATCATTATTCACAAAGTTACAGCCTTTCAACAATCATTAAAAAAAAATTGTAAATCTCAGCTCCTTATTTTTTTTTTTGCCGAGTACAGTATAAACCCAATAATTGACAGTAGGCAATTACCATAGCAAATTTCAAAATAAATCAATATACCCATTTCATTTTGGCTTTATATATTAAAAAAATGGCCGAGATCTCTAATACCCAATAGTTCCCAACTTCTCTTTAAAGCGACAATTTCTGGTTAAAAGTAGTCGCAGCTATTGATACAGAAGAAAATGTATACAATGATAAAAATAAACGTTTTTCCAATAGGCCAAAAAGAACAGGGAAGTTGCCATAATTTCTCCAGCTGCAAAAACTCATGGAAGATCATGAAGCCACTACTGCTTTTCTTCCTTTTTTTATATAATGCCATCACTGATCACACTTGCAGTTTATAAGAATGAACTTTCGTTTGTTCTACTAAAATTTTAACGTTTTCAATTTTTTCCGAGCCCTTTTAGACAAAGTCTGCCTTATAACGACAATTACTTGTCCAAGTGCCATGCCCTACAGGAATTTAATCTATTTACTAGTAGGTTCCCGTACGCCGCTGGGCTTAACAATCGCTACTTCTCGTCCGCCTGAATCCAATATTACGTCTATACATCCCGATGTCCTGACAAAGGGACTTTGTCGATTAAGGAATTGAACTACCCAGGACCGAAGAAGGAAGAAGGGAGAACAGTAGCCGGGAGGAATGAATAAATTATCATCTTGTAACTTAGTTACAGTTTGGTAGGTTCAGATAGCATTGTTAAAAATTACTCGGGACTTCTTCGATTCCAGTATTACGCGGTGGGGTAGGTAAATCTTCCAGAAATCGATATTTGTCCTCGACCTAACAAAATAATACGTTCGCTATCGACTGAGATGTTTGTTATCTTTAAATCGTAAATAATATTTAAGTATGCTGTCAATTTTCAGTATCAATCACAGATCATAGTATCAATAATTTGTTTATGTAAAAAAGTAAATAATTAATTTTGGAATAGGCGAACAAGCTGAGGAACAGCTGCGTATTTCTTTGAGAATATTTGTTGTAAATTAAAGAATGTTCGATCTTACGAAAAAATGAAGTTGGTACAGCAGGTGGTACTTTTGAGATTCTGTAGACAATTCAATTTTAATTCATTCCAAATTCTAAATAAAATGAAGTACCTACGTAAGAAACACTTCAAAAAGTCTGAAAATATGTAAAGAAAACTTAGACAAACTACTTCGTTCGACATAAAAATTCTTCAGTTAGTTTTCGTTTCATGGCTTATATTTTTAAATAGTTTGATAAAATACCTTTCTCTTACTCGTAAGTATTTGTTCAATTAATTATTGATAAAGTCGATATTTCAAGTGTGTCTGACTCTTACCTAGTTATTGATGTAGTCTGAAATTCGTATTGAGCTCATTTGTATTTTATTTATAGACGACACTCCTGCTCTACATTTTGTGAGTTGAAAAATTATATATGCACTTTTCACGTTATTTACTGGTGTTCGGTTATAATTATTTTATATCAGTAAAGTTAACAAAACATTTCAAAATAATACATACATTTTAATTATTCCACTACAGATAATATTACATTGGTAATTATAATTTAATGTTTCATTAATTGTATTTAGGCTATTGATTATATGATTTTAAAAGGAACTATGACGTTTAAGATGTTTTATTACATGAATCGTTCAATTGGTCATTTTAGATGAAAAAAATTTGAGGACCGCTCGAACTTAGCCAATTTTTCGATTTCCGTCGCGTTTACCCTTCTACGTTTTATTTTTTGCAAAAAAAGGAAGGATTCGTTCAAGGATTTTCATCACGACTTGTTCGAAGGGTCATTAAAAATGAAAAAAACCGAGGGGTGCTATTAAATTAGAGGGTTGAAATTGAAGATAGGGGTGAAAATGCACTTTTGTAGTTTTTTAAATATGGCACGAAAACTAAGAAAAATTTCGGTATAGTTCATAGGTAAAATTTTGTAGAGGATTGAATTTTCCATTGAATGGCTCATTTCAAAAATTTAAAAGAAAAATTTTATGCAAAAAATAGTTAATAAACAATTTAAAAAAAGCAAAAAATAAGATTGTTTGATTTTCTTTTACTTTTTTAACTCTAATTTATGTAATAAACGACGAAATTCTAAAAAATATTTAAGTTTGACCGGTTATAACTTAGTCAATATTAGTCCAAAAACTTTCGAAAATGCATCATTCTGAAGAGAATCTCATCTAGTTTTTTTGGACAGTAATTTTCTTTGCCTACTTCTACTAATAAAAAAAATTTGTCATAAAAAATATTATTTTTTACTTTTTTAAAGTTGTTTATTAACGATTTTTTGCATAAAATTTTTCTTTTAAATTTTTTAAATATTTAAGCCATTTCGATGGGAAATTCAATTCTCTACAAAATTTTTCCTATGAACTATACCGAAATTTTGCTTCGTTTTCGTGCTATATTTAAAAAATTGCAAAATTATATTTTCACCCCTATCTTTTATCTACTTTTTTTTATGAAGCAATGTCTACACCTATCTATCTTTACTCAAAAAAAAAAAATTGAGTGTCTCCAAGCGTATTTCGAAATTCAAGCATGTTTCGAATTTTCACATATTCTTCCATATTCCCAGCCACCTGTTGAAGCCTGGGGAGTAATTTTTATGGCGAGGAACAACACTACCAGTATCAAAAAGACGAGACACTTCAACGAATGTCCTTGTATCGGGCAGGTGCTATTGGAGGTGATTGCAGTGAGATTTCATCACAAATTAATAACTAACGCAAAAACATTTCCGACGGCGACAAGCACGGATGTCAAACTATCAAATGCCAACTAACCGTCCTGTTAGCAGCATGGACTTTTATGGAAGTTTAATGATTAACAAAACTAGTTATTTTATTAAAACTAAACATAAACAAATTCAAAGTAGTAAACACTGCTTTATGGTATCCTATGGCCAAATTATGTCGAGGACTTTTAATTAATTAGGTTGTTTTCTACATAATTCTGTTTTAGTGCAATACATGAATCGTGAATCCGCATTCGGACGTAAAAATGCTCCTTTACATCAGGATTTTGAGATATTCACACCGAAAAGTGCAAAAACCTATTCTGACATGTCTTTACATCATGTCACACATACAAATACACTTTCCACAATAGTGAATACATTGTCCTTTGGTTTGTTTCGATACGATTTCTTTCCTCCAAGACATCACAACTTAAAGATTAGTCGACTCGAGTATTTAATCAATTAAGTTCAGTTGATTGCTAAAATATATGCTATATTTTTAACCGATTTATTCTTGAATCGTGAGAGGCGAAGGGACTCACGTTAATAAAGCCCTTGAATAGTGCGAGGCTAGGGCTCGTGTCAATCAAGCACTTGAATAGTGAGATGTTAAGGGACTCACGTTAATCAATCAGTTGAATGGTGAGATGCTATGGGACTCACGTTAATCAAGCACTTGAATAGTGAGAGGCTAGGGAACTCACGTTAATCAAGCATTTAACAATGCGAGGCTAGGGGCCTCGCGTCAATCAAGCACTTGAATAGTGAGATGCTAGGAACTCACGTTAATCAAGTACTTTGAACTATGTTACATTAGGGGACTTACGTTAATCAAGCACTTGAATAGTAAGAGGTTAGGGGACTCGCGTCAATTAAGCAGATGAATAGTGAGATGCTAAGGGAATTACGTTAATCAAGCTCCCCTAATGATGAGCGTCTAGGGTACTTACGTTAATCAAACACTTGAACGATGAGAGGCTAGACGACTCGCGACAATCAAGCACTTACGTTAATCAAGCTTCCCGAATGATGTGGGTCAAGGGCACTCACGTTAATTAAGCACTTGAATAGTAAGATGCTAGGGGACCTACGTTAATGAAACCCCCGAATGATGTAAGTATAGGGGACCAGTGTTAATCAAGCATTTTAACAATGCGAGGATAGGAGACTGGCATCAATCAAGCACTTGAATAGTGAGACGCTAGGGGACTCACGTTAATCAAACACCCTGAACCATGTAAACTTTGATATAGAGATTTTCAAGCTTGATTGCATCAATTTAAAAAGTATTGCACGTTTTTCAGCAATTAACTGAAGGATTACTCATTGAAATCAACTAAATTTTAATTGGTGATATTTTGGAGACAATGGATCGTATCGAGATGCTCCTAAACGTGATTCGAAGAAGAGAAATACTTTAAGTTAAAGTATACAGAATGAGCATGAAAAATAACGTCCTTAGGTGTGACATAACCTCAAAAACATTTCAAGATGGCTTCTTCTGTGCACCTTCCGAACATTTTGATGAGTAGACAAATGCTATTTGAGACTTACCACTCCCCACTGTCCGTCGAGGGCCGTCGCCGTACCGGTGGGCTCGTCCTTCGTGGGCCTCAGGCCCGCCGGGATGATTTTCGCCTTGGCGGGGGACAACCGGCTTCCGGGGCGGGCGTTGAACGGAAAATACGGACTGTCGGCCGTGAAGGGCTCCGCCGTCGCCTGCGTCGGGCTGGCTCCGGGTCCCGTATATACTGGGCCAGCAGGACTCAGAGCGTAAGCCTGGGACACAAGAGCAGTGCTCGTTAGTAATCGGCGATATTAAATAAGGATCATAGTCAGGATGGGACAAGGGAATAAGGGTCTTGGTTTTCTAAGCCAACGTTTCGATTTCGTTTAAAATCACCTTCAGGGCTATAAACAATGAAACGATGAGACCATATATGTAGAAATATTTGAAAAATATTAACATAACATTTAAAAAATCACAATACATGTTTAAAAAAAAAAAACAATTAAAACATTATACACTAGGCACAGAAATTAAGGGATATTAAAAAAATCTCAAAATTTTGGGTAATTTTCAAAGACCTGTAACTTAGAGGGAAATGGTATTAGACAGAATAAAAAAAAAACAAACTGAAGCTTCAAGTGTCTAGTTTTTTTTCACGCCAACAACGTGGTAACTCTCACACCCACCTATGAATCCCGATTTGAACCCCATTGGGCTGTTTAGGACATGCTCGGGCGTCGATGACAACGAGGCTATTCGGATTTACAAAATCACCAATTTTTTTAAATTTTTTTTAGAATTATGAACGTTTTTTGATGAAGAAAATATGCAAAAAACGACAAATTTAAACATTCTGGGTACTAACAAAAAAAAATCAGGGTTTTGAAATTATCAGGGTTTCTTTAGGACACTTTGAGGTTGAAAAGTTACAGTCGATATCCTTAGTTTATTCATTATTTGCAAAGTTATGCCAAATTATTCAAATATCCCTAATTATTTACCTTTCCTCTAACCAACATTTTCACTTTTTTTTATCAAAAACTTATCATTAAGACTTGTACAGAATACTTTGCAGTTTTTAAAACTCTGCTTGGATTTCCTGTACGACCATTATTTCCCGAATAATTGAATGCCAAAGTAAAAAATTATTTTTTTGCTTTGATCGACAATAACTCAGCGACAAATAATCGTACAAGGCTCCGGAACCGCTCAAATTGAAGAGAATTAGATTATTTAAAAGAGCTTTATGATGAAATTACCAAAAAAAAAATTGAGTCCATAGGCTTTAAAAAAAAAACAAAAATTTATATTTTTTTTTCTCAAAAACTGCTGATGCTAAAAAATTTGAAACTGCAGATCTGCAAATTGGACACTTGAAGCTTCGATTTCCTTTTTTTTATTCTCTCTACGACCATTTATCTACAAGTTACAGCTCTTTGAAAATCTCCCAAAATTTTGTGATTTTTTCTAATATCCCTTAATTTCTAGGCTTAGTTATCAGATTGTTTAAAAAAGAGAAAAACCTAGTGAACTTGTTTGATCTGAATTTCGTATCAATAAAACGTCCAAAAATGAAATTTTGTTATTTTCTTTTTCCATAATAAACTTTATATTAACGTGAAGTGAATTAAATAAATGCAGAACGAATTAGCAAAAATCTTCTAATATTTATTGTTAACTTTCAAATAAGTATTGTCAAAAAATAAATCAATTAATTCGATGGGTATGCCCCTTGCAAAACTTGTATTTTACTGTAATTTACGTTTTGAATTCATTGGGAAATTCCAAAATTTCAGGAAAAATCTGCATATACATTTTTTTTAAATAAATATGACTTTAAATATTGCTATCATCAAACGTTTACAAAAAAAAATATGTTGGCGAAGAAACTTCAATTTTTTTTAGACACAATTAGAAAATTTAAAAACAATCCTTTTTTTAACTTTTGATAACAAGGATCAGATAGCAAAATGGAAGGCATCTCCTTTCACTGGAATACGATTGAAATGCGTGTATTAAATTTCAAAAAGGACTCAGTGAGAGTGAGATTAGTATCCTCACCACTGATAATGTAAAATTTTAAACGTAATTTACCTATAAAAGGAAAATATATCAAAACTAAAAATGTATTGCTTGACCTTCATCACAGGTTGCAAGGTCAAAGAAAGTTTAACTTATATCAAATGGAATACCTACAGTATTTTTTATGTTAGCTATTTATAGATATGTGCCAAATTATATGTCGCAATCGTGGATCAAAAAATTTTCCAAAATGTCCTTGCATGTCAAACTCATTTTCACAAAAAATTACTGAAGTTATTAGTAAAATCTTGGTAACTATCTTGAAATTTAACAAACTGTTAAGTTACTAATTAAATTTTAATGATTCTGGAGACTGATATTCCTTTGCGGTCAAATATCAACCACATGATATGGACTATTGTAAGAGAACTGTATCCTTTTCACATATACGAGTCCATATTTTTTTACAGCGAGATTTTCTGTAATGTTTTGCATTTTCTTACTGGACTGTGGAAGATTGGATAAATTCCTGAGTTTTTGGCACATATCTTGTTTGCGATGAAACCAATTTTTGGTCATCTCATAAAAACCACGTTTGAACAGAAAAAATCTGTGTGCCTTAGCCGAAGTTTATCATTAACAATTTTCTGCGTGCTTTCTGAAGATGTACCAGATATCAGTTTTGATTTATTCATCATGGGACTCCTGCCCATTTTAATGCAAGACCCCAATACTTAAGAGACACATAATCAAATCATTAGATAGGCCGTGACGCACCTCTCTTCTGACCTCCTCGAACACCCGATTTAAATTCCATAGATTTTTGTATAGTCCACTTCAGTGTATAAAGACATCTGTACAGTCACATAATCTTGTGTAATGGTGAGAGGTAGTAATTTCCAACATTATACTTTATGGTTTATAATTAAGGACACTTTCAATGGTGGGGCAGAGATATTTTTTTAAAGAAAAGACCCCTTAATTCTCAATGAGGTACCTGCACAATTTGTCGCTTTTATTTATTCACATCCCGTGTAACGACCGTAACTTTTCCCGTTGACCAAAATGCTTCAAATAAATCAAACATAAATTGTTATTGTCGTCCTCTAGTCTCGCGCAATCGTAACAAACAAAAATATCTATTAGCCTTACGTCACTGGGCTTAATAGATTTTTATTTCTTCGGCAACAACTCGAGGCGCAGATTGAGAAAACAACAAAGACCATTAACATGGAGAGGATCGAGAGGTTATCTCACCGTTTTCTCCGTTTCAAAGGCTAAACGGTTACCCTTTGATATTCGGCGGCAATAATTAGTTTCTAATTAACGATTTATCTGTAAAACCGCGATATTGCCAGTACACTTATTAATTAAATTCCAGAAAATAAACAGATCTTGTTATTTGTATCGGCGAGGATTAAATCATGTTTTATTAATAAAATGAATACATCTAAGTGATTCACGTGTCTAGCTGTGAGCGTATTTGGAAAATTACTTACCATTCCGTTATCTAGTCCTCCATATGGAGGCTGAAACCCCGCTTTTTCTGAAATAAAGAAAAAAAATAAATAAACTACAGATTCGGAGTGGAACTATGAACTAAAAATATTCCCTTGGGGCAATCGCAATTATAATTAAAAAATTAGGTTCAAGATCACATTATTTTTATTGTTGTTGTTATGGCAATGTAAATGTCATATTAAAACGTTTTATTGATCTATAATTCTAATTACTATTCGCGAAAGTAATAGAAAGTTGCATCACAGAATGGAACCATAGATGTATTGCTTTTCAACCATATTTAAATAAAACACCCTTCATATTTTTACACTAACGAAGAGAGTATTTCTACGATGTGTAGTAACACAAGAAAATCTTTTATATGCCCAAGATAGAAAGTAAAATTTCTGTGAACTTCCATTTTATTATTGACACTCACACAGCAACAAATATGTCACAGGGCCGTCTTTAAGTACGTTCCGAATTATCTCAAGTGGTTTAGAAATTTAATTGATTTTTCTTTAAATTTTTGACAAGCTGTAGTTGGACAATGGATGTCCAAAGACCCCACATTTATGTAACAAAAAAAAAACTTATTTTTTGGCACAGAATACGCCCCTGGATTTTTTACCTCTCCTTAACAAACACCTTGTATACCTAAAGCTAAGGAACATCATAGGGAAATTAAAAACAAATATTAATAATTATTGATTTAGTGACTATTCGAAGAAAAGTATCGAAAAAAGGTGAAAAATTTTGCATTAAATTATTAATAACAACGAAAATTATTAATCAATCGAAAAACCCCTACGATGTTCCCTGAGTTACGTTCTTGTAAACCCTGTTAACTCGATTCATTGAAATCTTTTTGAGTTACAATTTTTCCTTTGTCTATTTGGGCATTTTGACACCTGCCAAAAAAAATACACACCACTTCAATTTGTTATGGTTTCATAAAACAATTGACATTTTTATTTGAAATATGCGTAATAGTCAAAGAGTGACCGCAATAAAAGCCATTTTTTCGCCTGTTTTTGAGACTTTGACAGAGGCGACAGGGAAAATCCTAAAAAATATTCTAAAAATATCCAAATACTCGTCATGAAAAATGAAAATGAGCATCACTTTCAGTTTTTCGAAAATTTTAAAAAATCACCCTTATTCGGGGGTTGAAAAGACAAAAAAAGTGAACAAATTAAGAATCATCAACAGTTGTAAAACCCGAAATAATATTATGAACGTGAAAATATCTAATTTCGTATTTGATATGGTCTTATCCGGATTNAGAGTATTTCTACGATGTGTAGTAACACAAGAAAATCTTTTATATGCCCAAGATAGAAAGTAAAATTTCTGTGAACTTCCATTTTATTATTGACACTCACACAGCAACAAATATGTCACAGGGCCGTCTTTAAGTACGTTCCGAATTATCTCAAGTGGTTTAGAAATTTAATTGATTTTTCTTTAAATTTTTGACAAGCTGTAGTTGGACAATGGATGTCCAAAGACCCCACATTTATGTAACAAAAAAAAAACTTATTTTTTGGCACAGAATACGCCCCTGGATTTTTTACCTCTCCTTAACAAACACCTTGTATACCTAAAGCTAAGGAACATCATAGGGAAATTAAAAACAAATATTAATAATTATTGATTTAGTGACTATTCGAAGAAAAGTATCGAAAAAAGGTGAAAAATTTTGCATTAAATTATTAATAACAACGAAAATTATTAATCAATCGAAAAACCCCTACGATGTTCCCTGAGTTACGTTCTTGTAAACCCTGTTAACTCGATTCATTGAAATCTTTTTGAGTTACAATTTTTCCTTTGTCTATTTGGGCATTTTGACACCTGCCAAAAAAAATACACACCACTTCAATTTGTTATGGTTTCATAAAACAATTGACATTTTTATTTGAAATATGCGTAATAGTCAAAGAGTGACCGCAATAAAAGCCATTTTTTCGCCTGTTTTTGAGACTTTGACAGAGGCGACAGGGAAAATCCTAAAAAATATTCTAAAAATATCCAAATACTCGTCATGAAAAATGAAAATGAGCATCACTTTCAGTTTTTCGAAAATTTTAAAAAATCACCCTTATTCGGGGGTTGAAAAGACAAAAAAAGTGAACAAATTAAGAATCATCAACAGTTGTAAAACCCGAAATAATATTATGAACGTGAAAATATCTAATTTCGTATTTGATATGGTCTTATCCGGATTGAAAATCAACCCTTAATATCCATAAAGGGATGAAATCATCCCATTAAAAGTTACAATTTTTTTTCTTTTTCATTTATACGTGATAATTGAACCGTTAATAACCCACAATCACTACATCCGAAGGAAAATACCCCTAAATGAGGGTAAAACCACCAACCATCGGCTTCAAAGTAAGTACATACATAAAATAATTATAATGCATGAAAAAAAAATGTTTCGAAATACATTCATTAGAATAATTTATACGCAAGTACTCCCATACCCACAGCAATCATCCCTCTCAAGGGGTAAAATCATCCCCCAAATATACAAAAAATTGTAGATGTGAAAAAATATTATTTTGATAACAACATAGAAATATTTGGGGTTTTACAACTTTTGATGATTCTTAATTTGTTCACTTTTTTGTCTTTTCAACCCCTAAATAAGGGTGATTTTCGAAAATTTTCGAAAAACTGAAAGTGATGCTCACTTTCATTTTTATGACGAGTTTCTGGATATTTCTAGAATATTTTTAGGATATTTCCTGTCGCCTCCCTTAAAGTAAAAACAGGCGGATTTTGCGGTCACTTTTTTGTTTGTTCATCTGCTTCCAGGGCTACAGATATATCAAGTTTATTGTATTATTAACATTTCTTTTAAAATTTTTAGCCAACATATCACAAGGATCGAAATTCTTTGAATAATTTGATAAGCATCTTTCACCGTCTAGCAAAACTATCGCGATATCTTTTAATAAAACTTTTACTGAATTTTAAATTATACCAAAACCACATATTTTTTTCAAGTTCAATTTTTGATCTAATTCTGTATTTATTAGCTAAGTTAATAAACTTAACATTGGCAGAAAAGAAATCTATAACTTTGCCAGCTGATAAAGGTAATTACAGTTATTCTAGACAAAACAATCTATGATACAAACACAACTAATTTAATCATTGAAGGAAATTACACAAAGTTAAATAAAGATCTGACGAAATCAATCAATCAACTAAATTTATAGGACATTATAAAAATACAAACGAACATTTTCAGATAATGAGAGAAAAAATTTAAATATAAACTATAGTAAACCACTGTAGAGATCACCAAACTTTTATAGTGTACTGAAAATTCTTATACGCCATATCCCATTAAAGTTTGGACACTGATTCTTACATTCAAAAGAGTAAAAATTCATAAAAAGTGTACTACTAAACTATAAATACCTTGGTAATTTTGACGACTTTCAGGTTTTTAAGAATGTTGAAAAGTCTGTAATCTGTATGTCAACAAAAATAAATTACCTACTTAATGAAAATTGAACATATTCCTGTATTATCGAAGATATTCAGGATATCATGTAACAAAATCAATATCACAACAAAATTTCAACATACGTTTAGGAAAACAGTCATATAATTCAAATGGTTCGGCAAAAATTTTAGTAAAAGAATACCGTTAAAGGTAAATTGATTGCCCGTGAAATTGAAGTAGAAGTTTTAAATGAGGTAAATAATAATAGAATAATCATCATATATCTATATCTATGGAAGTAGCTAAAGAAAATTTAATCTGTCAAACGCATTTCAACAAGAAACCACATTCCTATATTTGAGAACAAAAACAAATTGTTTTTCTAAACATTAATTAATGAAGTTAGCTTTTCAGATATTTAGCCTAACAAAAGTAAAATTTGAATTTCATAAAATAACCCTTTAACGCAAGGATTTGTTTAATTAGACAAGTGGTAAGATATCCGATAAAAAAAATAAAGAAAAAGCTAAAACTATTCATGAATAAATAACTGTAGACAAAATAATCTCAAAAATATTATAGAGGTTCACTGGTCTCAATCAAGATGCAAAGTAATAAATCATTGCTTGTCAAAGGATCCAGTGCAGTACGGTTTTAAGGGGTTTAGAAATTGAATCATTTCTTTCTTAATTATTGTAACATGTATTTGAGGAAAAATCAATAATATAATTTTATCAATATGGTAATTTCTTTTAAATATAGACTTCGAACTTCATAATCCTTTTTTTACTTTTTCTCTAGCCATTATTTATAAAAAAAATACGAATTTAAAAAAATAAGTGTTCGAAAAATATTTTTTATTTTCAATCGTCGCATGTTTTAACAAATTAATTTTTTTCAAACCTAAGGACATCGCTCGATTTCTTGGAAAATTTCAACCCAGTATTGATATAAATACGGTGTTTCCGTTAGCAAATAAACAAGACATAAAGGTACAAAGTTGGCAAAATCCCAATTCGCACTAGTGTGACTTTTGAGGGTCAATTGTCTTTTCCATATTTCTAACGTACTAAAATTGTATATTTGTATCTGTTTCTTTCTTTTAACAGTACAGTACAACCCGTCGGATTAAAAATTAAATGTACCACTCGTTCCGTTTTATTAAACAAACGAATACCGTACGACGCAGTTAATAATAAGGCAGAAACTAGTTAGTTCAACCTGCCTATGTAACAAACGGAATGCCCGTATGGACTTCCAACTAGCCTGGAAAGTTGTGGGGTCATCTTCAGATCGTATGCCTCGCTAGACAAGTCTCAAACAATGTTATTAAAGGGCATTAAGGTCAAAGTGTCATTCCAACATATCTGTTAATGAACATTATCTTGATATGTCTTTACCACCAGGATGGGTGGTGGATTATTTCATGTAAAATAATACGCCACAGGAGAAGTCCAGTCCTTTCGCATTCACACGACATGTTTCGTAGGAAATCCTTAGAATTTTACAAACTGTTACACTTCGCTCGAATGTCAGTTCATTGTAATTATATTTATTTACAGTATCATCTACGGTCGCGT